AGAGGTTAAATGTCTCGATCATTTATCAGACGAGTTCAACTTTTCCATCGCAGAACTTTCCGAGGTCAACAACTTTCAAGTTTCCAAGGCTGACGTTCATGTGATTGTAACTTGAATAATCCATTAACTACTTGCTCGTGATGTTTGATATGCCATTGTTTTCCCAACAAAGTTTTCAAAGGCGATTGTAATTTGAAAAACTGTCCCTGGTGAGCATGTTAGACTGAATTATAAATACTTCATTAATTCATGTTCCACTTTCGTGAATAAATCCATTTCGAATTCATAGTCCATTCTCAATAAAAAAATTCTGGCAAAAACAATTCGACGAAAATAATGTGCGTCACCGTTTTCAAATTGATAATTTTCTATACTTGAAAAATCGGCTCCTCTGTATTTTTTGCGAGTAGAACGATGAAAAATTCGATGAAATCAGTGCGTATAAAAATTACATGCGATGTCAAACTGGGTCACAAGACTTAAAACGAGATATGTACGCATATATATGGACACGAGAACGACGAGATCCTCGTCAGCAATTAATTGTTTTTGTGCGGAAGTGGGGGATAAACGGAAGGAAATTGGGACCCGGGAGTCCATCAATCGACAGCCGGAAACGAGGATCCCGCGTCGACGTCTTCTCTGGGGGATAATTTTCCCTGTGATTGAGGGATCGCGAGGAACAGGGTGGGGATCTTTTGCAGTGACACTGCTCATTACTATCAGCTTTCCCATATATACAGTACAGTACTTGTCTCTTCCGTGTTCCTATTTCCTCTCTTTCGTGCTGGACATGCGAACAAATGTCTTTCGTATTATACAAGGTGTTCACAAACACCGACATTAATTTCTATTGACTTTTTTTTTTCATCAGGAAGAAATTTGGTCGATTTTTTCGACGTGGAATATTTATTTGCTTTCTTTGAACAGGTCTCTCCCATTTGAGCTCGCATTTTCTGGCCCTGTTGTTCCAAAAATTGAAAAATATGACTGATGCCCATTTTGTTACTCTTCATAATATAAATCACAGCATTGTATTAACATTGAATTCTTTTTTGAAGATCACATTGTTTTCAAACACTGAAAAACGTCTAAGATGGCCCCAAAAATAAAATGTTGAATATATGAAGGGTTAATTTGTAAAAATCTCCCAATCCGTCAAAAATGTTGAAAACCTTTTTATAAAAAAATATTTGATATAACAAACTTTTCTGATATCCCCATGAGTTTTTGTAACGATATTTTACAAAAAAATAATAATCAATTTTGGATGACGTGGAAAAATTTTTTTGTAAATTTTTGAGAAACTTCAACGCTTTGAAAGGTTGGAGTGGGTTTTTTTGAATTATCCATTTGAATTTCTTTGTGAATGTGTGAAGAACATTTGATTAAGCTTTCATTGACTAAAGTGACAGACATTTGCTTTTTAAAAAATTGTGAGACTTTTGATAACCTATAACGTTGAATAGTTTGAAACAACATCTTCCTGTTTTGAGGGCATTTCAGTGTATGGTACTTTTTATTTTGGAATTTTTTGAGCCTCAATCGATGCACTGTATTAAAAATGCAAACAATACTTTTTTCAATATTTATGAAACACAGTTTCTGTGTAATTACTGAAAATGTATGTTTTTCTTCAATTTTTGAACTATACTGTGGGAATCTCTTGATTTAATTTTCGCACCTCATGAGAAAAATCCAGGCTTCGAAAAATAGTTTCATCCTGTCGAAATGTAGGATTATTTCGTACCCAGTCTCTTTGAGAATGATGAAGATATAAAATTACATTTTTATCGCGCCATCTTTCGTATTCCGTCTTTCTTGTGTGTGTGTGATTCCACAAGAAGTGTAGATCATACATAAGCATTCTTTGCGGAGAAGGAAGAATGGTGGCCCTTGTTTGCCACATGCAAATTGGGGGAACGTGCTTGGAATATCTTTCACTGAAGGAATTCCTCAGTCAGAACGGGGATGAAATCCCGGCACTTGAGCAGTTGTGACAAGGATGGTGTCTGGGATTGTCAGGAGGTGCTCACTGAGCTGACACAAGCCCACTGAGCAAGTCTCTCACTTCTTTTCCCATATCCCCCAAAACAGTATGATGTATTCCTCCAAAGGAAACACATGCTGTAAAATATAGCTGCAAAAAAAACTACCAGGAAACCTCACAAAAAATTATTTGCAAAGTAAATATGGGTTTTATAACTAATTTAATGGTTTTTAAGCATGTAGGACTAACATTTGGGCAAAACAGGTGCAAAATGACATTTCAGAGTACTTATTCCAGAACAGATTTGTAAAGCATTGCCAACATTTCCAGCTTCCTATGGTAACATTTTAAAGAAAATTCAAGGTGTGGAACACAATTCTCTCATTTTAGACCTTCCCTTTCCAATCATTTCCAAGATTATACAAACTGATCTTACAAAAGTATCAATTGAAGCAAACTGAAAATACATGTGTATAAGAAGAGCATTTATTCATTAAGACCTGGATTTTTCCTGAAATAAAGCAGGCTCCTTCCAAACATACTTTTCTTCCCAAAAAAATGCCATTTCAAAAATTTTCAAATAATGCCTGAATAATTTTGAGTTGAGCTTCAAATAAACTTCCTAAAATGCTAAATCTTTCTGCACAAAAAGATTAGCCTTTATACTTTTCAAGATTTTTCAATTATGCACAGGTGTGATTTTCCCAGATTGTGCAAAATGATGGAAATGTTTGTGGCTCATGAGAACAAATTATAGGCAAAAATTCTTAATAATGAAATTATAGAGAAAAATTAATCTGCCATGCCAAAATTTCATATTGTTGATTTGAAAACTCTACTGAAATCATGGTTCATTGAAGTAAAACTCATACAGAAGCAGGCTGAAGACCTTGTGCTTTTTTCATGCTTTGAAGTGATTGAATGTATTTGGGGGGAGTTGGGTTGGGTGGGGAGGGGGTTTGGATGTGGGAGTTTTGGTTGTACCTTGTGAACACTGAAAAGCTGCAAAGAAAGTTTTCTGATCATTCATTCATTCATACTGAAATCAAGAAAAAATACTTTATAACAAAAATTTGTTTGAAAAATATTATCTGTGACGGAATTTTCCTGCAATGTGCAAGAATGCGACCAACAGGTCAAAGGGTCATCCGGTGATTTGTGCTGAAAATAAGTCTGTGGTGGTACCACAAAAAGCGATGATACTTGACCTGCTTCAGCAATGCGGGGGAAGAGCAAGTGCAAATTCCTGCCCCGAGGATGAATATATATACCCGTCATGTTGACACAGCAGTCAACAGCAAAAAGGAATACAGTCTTGTTTGCCTTGTGGCTCTTATGCTTCTCTATATAATACAGCAGCTCCCAAAGTACCTCTTTCGATCAAAACATAATCAAAATGCTACTGCCCTGGATTCCTTCCAAAGTTTTCCTCTGAAATGGATCTTTTTCCCCAATTTAAAAAAAGAAATTTATCCAGTGGCCCAATTTTCTTTCAAAGGAGAAAGCTTTCGACCTGTGGCCTGGTTGTATTCAATGCCAGCACTATATGTGCATTCAATGCTTGGCACTCTGTGCATTCAATGAAGCATCTGCTTCATCATCACTGAAAACATGTCAGATGAGTATCCATTTTATATACTCCAGCAGATTTGCAGTCCATTTGAAAGGCTTCAAGAGAAATCTGCTGTTGGTTTTTCAGTGAAAAACAAATTAAATTTGAAATCAACAATATTATACTATAGAATGGATACCCAAGATAATAATCAGGGGATGTCATGATGATACAAATACAAAGTGAGAAACACTATACACCAGTGGAAGCCAATTTCATACAGAGGAAAAAATTGATGTGAATAAGGACTAAACAGAGAGATATTAAATACATTTCAAAAATACTCAGAAAAGAGATGCAGAGTTAAATTGATCCAATATTCCTTTCTGAAGTACGTTTCAAAGTATGACCAGCATCAGGAGGTAAAAAAAAATAAAATCTCTGGATTTTTTCATGCTTCACAATTAAATGTAACAAAAACTAGGGTCGTGTTATGTTATCCCTCTAAAATCGAATGGAAAAAAGGGCTCAAGAGAAGTAGGAGTTTCCATTTCCCATAATTTATTCATTTTGGCAATTTCCCTGACCCCAATCATTACTTTGCAGGAAAGTTTGTGATTCATTGAAAAGCTCTATAGGTCATACTATTTTTTTATTCACTCAAATAACATCGCAAAGATTTCTTTGAAGATATTTTTATAAATAGAAATATGTCTTCAGGATATATTTTCCAACAATTATTTATTTTGAGTTTTAACTTTCTACTTTGAATCGCATTTCACTTCTGTGCAAAAAATCAAGCAAAAAAGTGATGTAAAATTGAACAATAAAGCTGAAATAAAATGTTTTAGACATGCAGTGACATAAAAACCCTTTCAAGTGCAATTTTCCAGAAACTTTTGCTCTGCCCCTTGGACTTCTTATTGGAGTTTTATGTACGTGTCAACGTCCCTGGGATAACTCCATTGACTTTGCCCTCCGTTTGATGTAGACCTGAAGAGTGATGTGGAAATATGAACACTGTTGTGCCAATATATTTCCGAGGTCAACACAAGCTGGGATCTTCAGAGGGAATTTACTCTAGATTTCCTCGGCAAACTTTCACAATATGACGCAGATTACTGTATATTTTTTTCCGGATGGATGATGACAATGTACAGGTGCTATTGTTGTTTTATTTACGCGCATGAGTGATTGAGTTTGAGTGCTTGTATATATATACACTCGAGGATGAACATTAGTCAAGAATTGCCTCAATTCCTGGATGACTCATCGCCCTGGGCCATGAATAACATCACCAGCAGCAGCAACAATAGTAACAATGCAACAGACACCAGCAGCATGGCCACAACTGGAAACGCGTTGTCTGTCATCTCAGAGTCCCTGTTGCTGGTTGTGGGAGTGACTGGGCTCTGTGGGAACTCACTGGTCATCTATGTGGTCCTGCGGTATGCCAAAATGCAGACAGTGACGAATGCGTACATAGCCAACTTGGCCATTGCTGATGAGTGCTTCCTGGTGGGACTGCCTTTCCTGTTGGTGACCAGCAGGCTGAAGCATTGGCCCTTTGGCCTAGTGGCCTGCAAACTGTTTGTGACCACGTCTGGGATCAACCAGTTCACCAGCAGTGCGTTCTTGGCTGTCATGAGTGCTGATAGGTGAGTTGGTACTTTTGATATGCAGAAGAGTTGGATGATTTTTTTTTAATTATGGGCCCGTGAGCAGGAAAAGGTCAATTTTTTTCAGTATACCACTAGAGGTGATGGTACCTTGCAATTCAATATTATACAATTCATCCATCCCACAATTTGATGATTGAATTTGCTGGGAGGTTGACTTGCAATTTGACCACTGCCCTATATACACAGTTCAACCTGCTTCAAACACTTTTCTAGCATTTTTGCACTGTTCTTACTTAATTTTACACAGAGTCTTGCAATTGAACCATTTTTAAATTTGACCTCAGTTTATTTATAGTTACAGATTATGGTCAAATTTTGGTTTACCAACTGGATACTTTATTCATGCTAGTACACACACCTGTTTTTCAAAAATTGAAAATAAAAAGAAGGTGTGAGTTGTGGCTTGTGAGTGGGTAAAAGTTTTTTATTTTATTTTATAGCTTCGGTGTACCTCAAACTTGATTCCAATCAGAAATTTTAACGCATTTCAGAATAAAATTAAAAGAAGAAAATAAACGAAAATTTGCATTACAATTTTACAAAAATTAAAGTCCAAATTTTAATTATGATGCATTTAATTTTCAAAATATGTACATTCTTGGTCTGAAAAGATGGAGTGTGGGTCTTTATTTGGGGATACATTTGCATTCAAAGTTTAAGTTGAAAAAATTGGGTGACTGCCACACTTGAACAGGGTGTGTGGCATACTCAAGTATAGATGTGGCATTATGCATTATATACTGAACAAAAACTCATGTAAAGTATTGTGCGTTCAGAGCAATATAGTTTAGTTCATATATTGAGTTTTGCTGCGAACTAGAATATACTCGTACATAATAATCAAGTACAAAAGATTCTCAAGCATAAAAGTAATATTTTAATTCACTCAAGTACAGTGCACCGTTAAGTAAAATGAATACCCGGATTTTTGAGCCTGAAATTTTGATTATACCATGAATATTTTGATCAAACTTTGATCAAATTCATTTTGAATTATTTCCATCGAAAATTGCTTTTACAGTTGGTCAAAAATGTCTCATTGGAATTCAGAAATATGCAGTTGGAAGTTTTTTAAAAAATAAATGTGGATATTGTACATCCACTTATGATGCTCACCCTCTATTTTTCCTGATTCAGTTTAGAGCAAAAATGTTTGCATGGTATTTGAATAACTACAGTATTCAAGAAATGCTCATATGAATTCAAAAGCATTTCTCCAAGAATTGTCTGAGTTTTTAACTGATTGTGACATTCCATGGTCACATTTAATGACTGCTTTCAAGTAATTTCTGAAAATGCTTGATAAATTAACTAGCAATTGCTCAAGATAACTCCATTCTAACTTCAAAGAATCACTCAAGGAAAGGTCTCGATATTGAGAATTCTTGTGACATTATTTTCATACCTGAGCTGGTAACTTGATTTTTCAAATTGTTCTTGGGAAATTGAACAAAGACATTTTCAGTTATTCAAATAATTTCAATTTCAACATCAAAGCGCTGCTCAAGAAAGAGCATGATTGAAACAGCTTGTGACATTTTGCATCCAAGATTATATTCTTCTACTCATTCCTTGAACATTTTTCTTTATGGCCATGTCAAATATTCAGAAAATTTACATTCTAACTTCAAACCATTGTTCAAGAAAGTGCATGATATACAGTAGAAGCTGAAGTGCATTTCACAATTCAAATTTCATTTGCATCTCACAATCAGATTTAATATGGTTTGATGAGATTCATCATTCATAAAATATCATCTTCACAATTTGGAAAACATTCTTAGAATTTTCCTTGATGAAGATGGCATCCGGGAACAGGTATCTTGTACCTCTATGCTGTACTCTTTCTACAATGATCTTGTCTACAACAATATTCTCTTCATAATATATTTTCCAATATGTCTCTCCATGTTTTAGTGATTTCTCTACAAACAAATTATCTTTTAAACAGTTTTTCCTGTCCTTTGAACTCCATTGTAGAGTTGGGTCGTCTGAATCATTATTCAATTTTTTCAGATTTAAAAAATATCCTAATGCTGAATTTGCTTGCTTGGATCATGAAACCGCTTTCTGTGATGCCAAACATATTGAACTTTGTATGGCAGTGGATTGATTTCCATTCCATGGCAGATTTGGGATATTTTTGCAGGCTTACCCATTTTGGGCTAACCAAAGGTCACTAAAATTTTTAAAACTTTGAAAAAATTATACTCAACTATGATGTGCACCCCCTTTTTCCTTCTAAGTTTTGAGGAAAAGGGCATGTGTAGTACACTAGTACTTGAGTAAATACAGGTGGTGCCCTACAATTTGATCCTATAATCCATCACTGGACTAGGGTCAAATTCTGAAGTGGTCAAATTGCAAAGCAATGTCAAATGCAATGTTTTCTAAATTATATTTGATGTTTTTCTGCCTCTGTGTGCATCAAATTGTGAGGCAGAGGTCAAATGGCAAGTCAACCTCCCAGCAAATTTGACCATCAAATCACAGGACACACAAAGTGTGGGGTGTAGTCAAATTTTGAGGTACCGCCTTTACCTATGTTGCAGGAATGCTGGAAAAATGCCACCAACAGTTAATAATTTTTTTTTTTACATCTGCAGGAACATAAACATAGGGATATTATTGTATTTACTCGAGTACCACGCACACCTTTTTCTCAAATTTCAGAAGAAAAAAAGGGGTGCTCGTCATAAGCGGGTACAAAATTTTCAAGAAGTTTTAGGAAGTTGTATGTTAATTAAACTCGATTATAATTGAGAAATTCGTGACAAATTTACCAAGCAAACTTTTATTTTTACTGAAAAATTTGAAAATTGATAAGATTTTTGTATTTTTTGTTTTTATTTTCAAAATTTTGTGGTTATAGAGTCACTAAAAATGGGGTGCGCGTCTTACTCGGGGATACAATTTTAGCCAAATTTTGAACTGAAAAACCCCTGTGCGCGCCTTAATTGAGGGCGCAGGGTAATCAAGTAAATATGGTATAGTTTTTCAGATTTCAGCTCTCGTGTTTGGATTAAGGCTTTTTTTTCAATTTCTAGTACATTCCAGCAGGGCACCAAATTTTGAAAGTATTTCCCATGCTCAACGGCTGCCAGTGCCAACAAGTGGTTAAAAACTGTCAATTATCCCCTGAAAAAAAATATAAAATAATCATTCCTACATTGACCCAGACATGTGCTGTATGCGTGCATCTGTGTATATATAATAGGTATGTGGCTGTGTGCCATGCTGTGAAGGGCGCTTCCCTGAGGACGCCGGTGGTGAGCAGGCTGGTGGCCGTGACGACCTGGCTCGTGTCCGCCGTGCTCATGACCCCGCTGTTCATGTACTCCTCCACTCGGGTCACCAACAACGAGACAGGCACGACGACCTGCAACGTCTTCCTGCCCGACGACGACGACACGCACACCTACGTCATCTTCACGCTCTACAACTTCCTGGCCAGCTTCGCAGTTCCCCTCATGCTCATCATCATCTTTTATTCCCAGGTAATACATAATATTTATATTATTTGGGGGGGGGGGTGGGTGGGTTTCATCATTCATCTGTCGATATTTTACCGAGTATTTTGGATTTTATTGTGGGAATATATATTATTGGCCCCTCCTTATTTGAGATTATTGCTATTCAATATATTCTTGCGATTATTTCGCAGGCAAATGATTTTCAAATTCTTGCACTTTAAATATATACGTTTAAAAGTAGAAAAATAAAATTGAGTTACATCATGTTCAGATTGCTAATTTAAACGGGAAAAGGATTGTGAATCAGATGCACGAGTGCAGGCGGAGGGTTATTTTCGTTTCAATGATAGAGATTAGTTTCTGAAGTCTCAGGTAGGTGTCGCATGAATAACTAATATGTAACTTAAACTATTCATTAAAAATGTAGTCGATAATGAAGAAAGCCTGCTGTGTGACAAAGAATCAAGTAATATACCTCATTTCAAAATGCAAGCAGTAGTTTATTGAATCTCTTTTGTTAAAAAATGTTATATTGAACCCCTGCTGTTATTGTCAATATATACAGTATATAGTAATTTGAGTTATTTTTTCGAAGTGACAGCTGGGTCAGTTTTCGCGTTTTAAAAATGATTTTTTTTCTATTACTTCCTGGGAAAAGTGAATATAGTTTACGCAACAAGCGAATTTCAGGAAACTTTTGCGACAAAATCATACGAATAAGAGAAATCTCCTTCCTTCAAGTCACTATGATTACGTCACACATTTTCAAATTATGCAGCGATTAAATTACACACGCACTGGCAGTTTTTTTTCCAGTTTCCAAAACACTGACACAATTGAACTGCTTCCAAGAGACATTTTCCTGACACATTGGCAACCCCAGTTGATGCCTCAGGGTAATTCTTAATACTACAGTATTGATCCATCATCCAGGTGATCATGACCCTGAGGAACACCAGGGCCAGGAAGAAGAACACCAGAAAGAAGGTCACCCGACTCGTGCTCACAGTCATCATAGCTTACGTAGTCTGCTGGCTCCCATATTGGCTTGGACAAGTGAGTATATATACTGTATATATATAAATGAATGAATGTGGATAGCTGTTGAAAAAAGGATCCATCTGGGTCCATAATGCTCGAGTGGGTGTTCGGAATTGATGACCAGACCAGATGATGCAGCTACCCTTTGCAAATGAACAGTTCCACACAAATCTCAGTCCAGTGAACAAATGCTTTACATGCTGGGTTCAGTATGGCATTAATCTTCTTGCAGATGGTGTGTGTGTTTGATCATTAGTTACCTTCTGTTGAGCTGAATTTTTAGCCATAAATCTAATCACTATGTTTTTATCTGCACCTACATGTTGCGTAAAACTGTTGCTAGCTGACAAAATAAAGATTTGTTTTCAAAAAAATGAAAGAAATGCTTTCTTCATACAGTACTGTGATTTATTTTATTTTAATACCTACTGTATTAACTCAAGTAACCACATGCCGTCAAGTAAGATTTGCACCAGATGTTTTCAGTCAAATCAGACTGGTGTGTTTATTCCCCAGTTTTACTGTATTGACTCTTTCCAAAATATGAGCAACAAAATTTAAATTTAGGCATGACATGTGGCTGAATTTATCTAATTTTACTTCCACTACAAAACGTTTTTCTGTTGAAATTGTCCAAAGTTTCTTACTATAGCAAGAAACATAATTAACACCTAAACTTCTAAAACTTTTTGAAAAAGTTGAGCCTGCATACAATATTACTGCATTTTTTCCCAGCTTGAGAAAATACTGTGAGTATGGTACACTGGTACTTGACAGAATGTGTTGAATGGATGTGTTGGGAATATGTAGGAAAAGTTTGTGAACCGGGAGAACACTGACAAGCAGCATATAAAGCTTGTATGACAATCAATGAATCAACAAAACAGGCATTTGCACAGCAATGTCCTTGTTTTTTTTTCATGGCAGATTGGATTGATGATTCAGCTGCTGGAGATTGTGACCATGCCTGTGTCTCACATGACCCTGGTCAACTATAACATCATTGCATCCATCCCAATGTACTGCAACTCTGCCATCAACCCCATCTTGTATGCATTCTTGTCTGACAACTTCCGGAAAAGTTTCTTCAAGGCCTGTAAGTGCTGCAAGGCTCTTGGCAGGTTCAGAAGAAGGAGAAGGAATCAGAGTCAGCCCAGGACATTGAACCATGGCAGAAGAGGGTCATCCAACTGGCCCAGGAACACTTTGAACTGCAAAACTGCTTGTTTGACTAGAGTTGAAGGCATGACTACAGTGAGTTTATTTTTTTTTAAATCAGAGTCAGACCTCTCTGTCAAATTTGAAGGGACCCACACAGAAATTACAGTGAGACCCCAAAATACAGACACCACAACATACAGACAATATAACATGGGGAAACTTGAAGCTGAAAAAAGCTGCCCCTGGCATCTGTACAGTGCCTTATTGAGATACAAAAACTTTTCCAAAATTTCTGGTGGAAGTAGAAATTATATTTTACTGCATTTTTGAATTTCTTCAAGGGATTGAGCTACTTATTGTTTAAAATTCTACAAATAAATTTCATTATAAACTTACTTTATTTCATAATCAAAAGCAAGTCAATTTTGTGTTACTTTTTTCAGTTTTTTCCATCATGTGTGCTCTTCATAGCAAGGCTGGTTCTTATTGCTTCTTATGAGCTCCTTCTGAAACCAAAAGATCAGATCCTGTGTGGTGTTCTTCTGTACATTTATTTTATGCATCTTGAAGTAGAGAAAAAATTGTTTTATTCCATTTTGGGGGATTTTTCTTAATTAGTAATCTGCAGAAGAGCCAATTGAAAATATTCTCATTGAGGTATAGTACAGTGGTCCTCTGCCTAACAGACATCTTGCATAAGAAATTTTTGCCTAACAGACCAGCTCTGCAGGGAGTTTTTCCTCCTGCCCAACTGGACCCAATCTGCCAAACAGACTTCTGTTGGTTTAAAATTAGTGTTGACAATTAAAATTTTTAATGTTTCATATAATGGAATTCATCTAAAGGACTTTTTGTCTAACAGACTTTGCCATTGCAAAAATTAAGCCTTTCAGATGGTGGTTGACTGTGTATTGGACAACAAGGTCCAACATGCAGATGTTTCACCTTAGGGATAAGATCCATACACCAGTTTTACCCACATCTTGGGGTCCCACTACATGTCATAAGATAGGGGTCTCATATAATTGACATTAAGCATGAATTTCAGTTTTTAATTGTCTTTCTGAAAATCCAGATGGAAGAGGATGAAGATCACCAGAGGTTGGCAACTGAAGGACTTGCTCAACAAGTGATGCTCCACAGGGACCCAGCTGTGTCTGAGGATGAAGCAGAAGATGAGGACATTGAGATTGAAGAGGATGAAGGCCTGGTCACCACAGGCAATTGGAGTTCCCCAGGTTGCAGTCTGCGCAATCACCACCAACAGATGGAGCTCTTGGTCACCAAGAGACACTCACACTCTGCAGTTCAAGGCAGTCTCATCACCACATCTGCCATAGTGTGCAACACTAGTAGCCCAGGATCTCACATCACCACAGTGGACCTCTGATGAAATCCTCTCATTTGCTTCAATTGGCATGGAATAAGTGTTCCCACCAACAATTAAATGTTCCCATGGAGAAGATTTTAACCCTCAAATAGCAGCAAGCTTCTTTCCATCCCATGGCAAAGTCAAGATTTTTTTTTCCTCATACATGTGCATTTCAGTTGGACCAATTGGCACCAAAATTCACCTGGGCATAAATTCTTTTCTTTCCTTAAAACTTCATTGCTGGATTCCTATGGTTGGAATCCAGGAAAAATGCCAAGCAAGAAGGAATATTTTTCTTGTTCAGAAATAATTTTCTGCTGGCAGCAAAAAAACTATTGGACTTTTATCCTGCTTGGGCCTTGGTTCATGTTTTTTTTATTTCAGTGCTATTGTGAGCAGAAAATGTTGCAAAAATATCTGGACTTTGCCACAGAAGGGTTAATTTGCTCTTGTTCATCATCAAAGCTACTCAACTTGCTCCTTTTTGAAATTTTGGTGTATTTTCATTGTTGATCTCATTTTTTGCATTTCAGAAGCCAAGAGGTGTTCATCTTTTAAAGACCTCTTGGTTATTTTTTATTTGCTTGAAACGTGTTTTTCTATAGGAAAAAGGAAGGAAGAAAGGGTGAAAATTTTCAATTGAATGTTACAGTTGTTTATGTGGAAAATTGAAAAAAAAATGATTTGCATGAAAGGAGGCAGAGTTGGTTTTTGCAGGGGTTCCAAACTGAGCCCTGGGACCCTTTCAAGTACCAAAACCCTGGATTTTTTTAATATCACAAAAATGCTTTGTTCTCTTGGGATAATAAATTCATAGAAAGCAGCTTTGTCTTCTTTTCTCATACTGAATTTTCAAAGGCCAGCATCGGGATTCGTGAGCGTAAGATATGAAAATTCAGGTTGAATTTCATATGAATTTTCAAGGTCCGAGAGCAGGGAAAATTCGGATAAACCCCCGGGGGAGAACTTGGTTGAATAAACCATGAGGGGATCCTTGGACTCTTTAGCACACAACCAAAACATTATGCAAATCCACTGCTGCACTCTTCGTCATATGCAGCTGCTCCACATTTTATAACCTTGTTTTGAAGCGCAAGAAAACTTGACTCAGGGAATAATTTGATTGAACCTGGAAAGAACAAGGGATCCTTTTGTACATGGAAGCGAATTCAATTGACATTTTCTCAAGTGAACATTCTAAGATCCCCTGGGTACTTTTTTAAATGCATTTTCAAATAGAATCAGTAAAAAGACTTCTTGGAGAAGAAATAATATGCCTCATTTTTCCTCTGGGGAGAAAAAAAGCTGTTGGAATAAAAGACAATGACACAATTTCAGAAGGTCTCGACTCATTCAAAAGAAATAACATTTTCTTCTTATTTGCACAAAAAAACAGGTTCTGATCTTTCAGCACTTTTTGTTCTTATTTCCATGGTTGCACGAATAAACAATAGAAAATTTACCCAAAAGTTCCAGCATATTTCGAAACCTCAGTATTTGGCAAGTGCATTCATTTCAAATAATTTATGGGTATTTAAACTGAGTCAAAATATTCATGACTCTTGCACTTGAATTTCTTGCATTTTTTGAGTAAATTTTGAAAACTTTTTCATCATCCCTCACTCAGTTCATCAACACTGTATGAGAGAAGGCTTTTGGTTCCTTTGGAAATTGAAGTCTGAAGCTTAGAAGTCACCAGAACAGAAATCTCTGGAGGAAACTCAATACTTGTCGGACGGGGCCCTCTGAAAAGGGATCCCCTCATCATTCAAGGATCTCAACACCATCAACCCGATCCTTCCGCCCGTTGAAGGGAAAAGGAAACTCCATCAACCTCCAAAATCTGCTTTTCAAGCTAAACTGAATCGATTGAAGCATTTCAGCTTTCGATTAACGCAAAAAAATCCCCTTCGAAATTTGAGAATCCCAAGCTCTCAAGCTAATGTTTTGTGTCCAATTTATTCCAAAACTCAAAAAACAAATTGAATAGATGGAGTAAATGTTTTTATTTCTCTTATAATTATCATACAGGAGAATTACTATTTGTGGGGTTTTTGACAATCCCTTGGATAAAATATTAGCAGTTTTGTGATTTTCAAAGCATTGGGGCCCCGAGATTCGGACATAATTTGTGCTTGGACCGTGTCCATATGTTGGAATGTCTGCATATCAAATCACATTTTCTCTTAGAATTCGATGGAAATACATTTAATTGGTTCTCCTCCTGCTGGTCAAAAATTAAGAAAACCTCTAAAAATATTGAATTAAATAAATGTTCTCATCTTCAAGATAAAGAAAACAAATGTGCAGAAGAAAAGCACTCCATGAATTTCATCTGCTGGCTTTAGAAGTTTCCCAAATAACAAAAAAAACGTTTGTCTTTCCATTACTATGCACAGAATAATTAAAAGAACTCTGAAAAAAATATGCACAAAATTAACCTGTTAGAATTAACCAATTTAAAATTGGTTCATGATTTAAAAAAATAAAATTTGGGATTATACAATTCTCAATTTGTTCAAAAGATATAAACACTTCAAATCTTTTGAAAAAATTTAAAACTTTATATTCACATGAAGAATTTTATTTTTCAGCACTTGAAAAATAAAATAAAACCAATAGAAGAATTTTATTTTTCAACACTTTAAAAATGAAATTCTTCCGTTGGCCCAGAAACGTTGGTAAAGTGTTTGTTTATACATGTTCATGTATACTGTACATATATACGCTGAACTCTTGCATTCCTATGGGTAACAAGAAAAATGGCTGCACTCAGTGAGGAAGGCAGCATTCATCATGATTTTTGCAAAAGCCCAGGTTTATATCATGAAGAAGTTGAAAGCCTTCCTTTCTTTCCTCATTTCACAAGCACTCCATTAAGCATATTACAAAGCTTTCATCCACTTGCTTCGTCAGAAGGATCTTTTCCGGTGGATCCCCAAGTGCATCCAGAAACTTTCTCGTTAGAGGGATTCCACCGGAAGAATGTAGAAGAATCCAAGTATTTTTCCTGTCTGGATTCAACAGGATTGAGCCCTCTTGTTTATCTTTATTTTCCTTGTACATTTTAGGAAATTCGTCACGTCCCAGGGGACTCAATTTCACACCGGTCAAACTCGGTTAGAAGCGACACATGAATGACGGGGGCGTATTTATAACGACAGTGTTTGTATACGCAGTATGGAAATAATCTCTCATCACTATTTTGATGAACAAACACAAGAGCTTGATTTTCCGCTTGACCTGGTTATTGAAAGATAGGGAAAATGAAGGAGGTTATCTTTTTCACGCATCGTCTGTTCCCCGCACTTGTTATTCGGAATTGTCAATGATGCGAGTAACGCGACCTCTTTTGGACGCAGCCGCGCAGTGAATGCGTTTTACTCTTGTGGTCCAATAGAGGTCGCTGTTTTGATATCCATATAATCGTCTTGATGTTCGCATAAGTGAGTTGTGATGTACAGTACTCATTCCTTAATGAATTGGTGCAAGTACAGTGCTTTCAAGTGCATTTCCAGTGAAGCAAGGACATTACGCATTGTAGTGACATCTGCATTCGATGTAATACTGTAAAATAGTCCCAAATTTTAGTTCGATTCTACATACAGTACAGTATATATATATGCGCAGTATGAGTGTAACGACTCTTTTCGTATGATATCTCAGATTTAATATGTGATGGATCCAGATTAAGGTTTGTTTCAATCTTTTTTGATTAAAAATGTGCATAAATTGCCATATCCTAAATAATGTTTCGATAAGCACGTAAGCTTATGGGGTCGTCGATGAGGAGCGCGACAGTGTTTTTATCGTGATTTCTAGATGTCACTAGTGCATGAGTTCGTTCTGCGCGCTTCGAATGCGGCAGCAGCAAAGTCTCGCTGTTTCCACTTCCATGATTCCGCGGTTTTTATGTTATTGTGTCTTGCTCGGAAACATTTTCATAAGGTTCGAAACTAGTTCGCCATTGTTTCAACCCCCGGGAAATTGTCGGGGCTTCGATTGCGAAAGCCGAAGCGGAAAACGAGGTTCAATCACCTGATGATTGATGACGTGTCAAGGGATCTGCTGGAAACCGGTTGTAAAGAAAGGTTCATCATCCGAATCTTTTTCCCTCCCCCTTCTTCGCCTTATTTTATCGCTGCCCGAATTGAAATAAAACGAGAAGCGTGCTGGTTATGGAAATGGTGAAGGATTGACTCTTCTGGAAATAAAAGTAGAAAGGTCTTGTTGACAACTCAATCAATCAACATATTCATAGCTAGCTGTGGACCAGAGAGAGAGACGGGAAAAAAAGCAGCGACCCCGTCATGGAGAACGTGATGAAGACTCACTCAAGTGGTCAGTTCCACATTGACTTGAAAAAAAATATATTCATACAGAAAACGACTGCATAAGTTCATAGACATTTTATTTTGCTTATACTGTATAAATTGTTATTGTTCTTTCAAAATATTTAAGGTACTTCACTTGCTGACTTATAAACACAACAAAATAAATTCTGCTCTTCTTTTAATTAACTGGCACAGAAAGTTCCACTACACATTAATGATTTCATTTCTCTAGTTGTGTCCAAACAAAGGAAACGAATGGAGAAATTAAGCTATGATGATGAGCAGCCATCAGGAATATTTACTCCGTTTGTCCGCATGCTTGAAACAAGAAAAAATGCTTGATTATTCCTTGCTTTGGTCATTGTGGTTTTATTAGATTACAACTAGCATATGCATATACAACAAGTGCTCAAACCAAAGAATTGATTAGATTCAGATAATTCAGAGAGAAAATCAAATTGCATTCTAACTGTCAGCGACATCTACCAACAGCAAAACAATGTGTTATTGGTTTGGACAAAGGAGAAGCATGCATAAGGAAAGGTTTCAAGGTTTTCTTGGCTTCCACTATACTTTTGCATTATAGAACTGATTCTTAATTATTAATTATTAAAGTCCAGTAGCTATTGTACAACACTTATATTTGAGTATCACCCAAACTTTTTCCTCAAAGTTGTGAAGAAA